TACTCTTCGAAAATATTTAATGATTTCTTTAATGCTTGAAAAACAACTTTAAATGTCCTGAATTGAGTATCAGTCTAATATTAATGACTAAATTCAGTATTTGTGCTTCATTAATTCTTGTTTGATTCTTTTCTAGTCATATTGCACTTCCATCAAATCCAAGATTCCAAGATCCATGAGATTGTTGATTTCCAATTGAAAATTAAGCAGTTTGTTTAAGATCTTATTATTCTTCTTCTTTTATTCAGGTTGTAACCTGTCAAACAAGCGAACTAAACAGAAGGATGATACTCGGATGGGCAGCCTACAGAAAACTTAGAGACATCTTCATGAGCGATACTCCTGTATGTTTGAAAAGAAAGGTTTTCAATCATGCGTGCTTCCTTTGGTTATGACATACGGTTCCGCAACTTTAACATTAACGGTGGCCATTACCAGGAGGCCCAAAGTAACGCAAAGAAAGATGGAGAGGTCGATGCTGGGTGTAACCCTGACGGACCACATACGAAATGAAGACCTACGAAGAACTGGCGTAAATGATGCGGTCAACATTGTGGCAAAGCTCAAGTGGAACTGGGCGGATCATCGTCGCAAGAATGAAGAATGAGCAGTGGTTACCTGATTATAATACGTCTTCGATCGTTGACAATTCCTCGTCTTCAACGCTCATTTCATCATGTTCCTCTACATTTTTGTCCGAATCTGTTATATTTTTACTTGTATCACTTTTATATGTACTGTTTGGGTATTTACCCTCAGCCGGGGTAAATACCCAGATAAATACCCATTTTATAAATACCTACCCGCCTGGTATTTACCCAGCGCCCATCACTGATCTTACCTAATCCAAATAAATTCACCGTTTAAAATTTCAAAGTCTATTTATTTCTAATTTATAGTTTCAATGCGTGGAATCATTTAAGAACAATCGTAAAAGCATAATCGTATAGTTAAAATAGCTTTTCAGTAGCAGTTTACGAATGCTACCGAAAGTGAGTCATATTCACGGCAGTAAACTTACGCAAAAAATAGGATTAAAAAAATGCTGACATTACAAACGAAAACTAAAACGTTATCATAATAATCATTCTGCAGTTTCATCAAATGACACGTCCAAACCACGATCAAGGTTATTAGGTTAATAAACAACAATCGACTGGGACTTTGCGATTTCAATTAGCGGTTTTTATAACCGATATAAATTTGACTTCTACATTGAGGAGACAATTAATGTTTTGTAAACGCGGACGATTGATTCTGCTGAAACAGTATACAGAGGAGAGGAAATATAGGGCAAACGGTTAAACCTAGACCACACGTGGCTGCTTTTATTGTCTCCCCGCATGCGCGGTAATTAGCGGAATTAATTATTTCGTTCTATGCTTTCTATGCTCCTAATTACGAAGACAAGCAACCGAGAAAGGCGCTCTATTTACGATTTTTGTCTTGTACAGTTCGACGCCGCTAGAAACAGTTCTTAATTATAACCGCTTTGCGAACAAAACCGAGAACTATACCATTAATTTCGAATATTTCTTAATTTATTGATTACTTTCTATAACTGCGGGTAAATACTAAACAGCTCGTATTTTTTATATAGGTAAACATTCGTGTTGTTGCTTTCAACGTTCACAAAGCCTTCCATACACGGGTTGGTTTATGCATATAGGATTTTATTACCACAACAAAAAATATACACACCAATCCGAGATTATGTTTAGACGTTATTATTAGTTTATGTTGACAGTTTTCATAATTTACTTGATTCATATTAGGATTGGCGCGTGTTACTTAAAGTAACACTAAAAGTAGTAGGATTTTTGTAAACCGGACATACACCTAATTATCCCCTGCATCTTGAAAGAAATGAAAACAGCACGCAACTTGTTTGCGGACGACGACAACGGCGATGGACGTTCACAAGCGCCGCGCAATTCCAAAGGAATTTTAGCGATTGCGCAAATCCAGACCGTCGCCTTAGAAAATGGGGAACTGCCTCGTCGAGAGGCCGGCAAAAGCTAATTGCCGTTTCCTCGGAATAAAGTTCACTGTGTCGCGGCACATACCGAACGCCTGTTCCGCGTTTATTGGCAATAATTAACCTCTCTTCGTCTTGAAACTGCTTGCGAAAATGTAGGAAACATTCAACAAGACGAATATGTGCCGCCGTCGTTGTCCACCATATATGAACATGGTTTAGTTGCCGTGGCACAATCGTTCTTGCACTTGGCAATGTACTCACCTAACCAAAACCAGGACATTCCACAAATACCGAACAAATTAAACTTTGTGTTAAGCATAAAAAAATTCAATTATGGTGAATCCATATCTATTTATAGACGTACCGGTAGCAATAATTCGCTACGGCCGAACAAACGCAATAAAAGGTATTTCCTACTGAAAGCATCGCGTGGGTTGTTCGACACCCACCGCCAGTAGCAGTTGTCACCACAAATGTTAGTCTATTCTTCGTTGTAGAAATTATTAGCAGTGACACAGCCCACATCGAGAAATACCAATTTCAACTTTTAAATCGTTAATTTTAACGGCTTACTACAACTAACTACTATCACTACAACTAACACTAGATTTACAACTAGAAACCTTTGGGTTTAGAGACGGCTAAACCATAATATTTCTAGTTTTAGGTCTCTAGTGTTAGTTCGAATAAATGCAGTATTTCTAAAAGTATCAAACTTACCATAACTATTTACGGTGGTATTGCTAAATGGAAAAACTGTAAATGTCATAAATTGAAAAATTTATAGGTTTCCTTATCCGTTAATAACAATATTTGTCTTTATATGGTCAAAGAAATCCCGGTTCACATTACGTTAATCTCTCTCAATAAGCTATTATATTACACACTTTATTAATAGTCGGTCCGTCAATAAGTAATTAATTAAACGTTAGTATTATTGATCAGATAGAAGAAAGTTAGACACGAAGCCGGGTCGTTTAAAGATTGGAAGCTCGGGCCAAGTCACCGCCAATCCTCGTTCGGTTAGTTTTAAATATAAATTAATAATAAACGAACGATTATGTGTCACTACTAGGAGAAAGTCTTATCGGCGACCAATTAATTTATTTTAATGATCGCGGTTAATTCGCGTCTCAATTTGCCGACTCCATGTTGGAAATGATGATAATCCACCGGGCCAATTATAGGTCGGTTCGTTTCCCGCGGGCCCGGTGCGCGAAAATAACTTTCAAAACGCATAAATAACACAATTAACATAAATAAGGCGACGGTGGCGGCGGCGAACGTTTATCTCAATTATATGCAGGTGAAACTCAACTCTTCGGGATACATCGAAACCAAATTCGTTCGATCTCAATATTAGAATTCCTCAATTTAACTCAGAAGTAGACTGCACAAAATCATCGCAATTCCACCTAGATAGTGCACAGTGAGTTGAAGTTATGCTATAACAACACCATAAAGTATCAGCAGAAATAAGTTGGGTTGGCGAAAAAAGTGCCAATAGGCTAAAGTCAAACCAAAAAGCCGTGGTGAGGGCAATGCTGAGGATCATCAGCAGATCTCAGAGATGGAGTGCGCAATGAGGACATCCGAAAGGGTATTCAGCACACGTCGCAAAACAAGACAGCATCAGATGGCCGAAAAAAATCATACAAAGAAGATGGCTGGATGACATCAAGAAGATTGGAGGAAGAAATTTTCTGTAAATAGCGTCAAACATAAAAAAGTGCATAGAGACTGATGAGAAAGGTATTGATCTGCGAGAATGGCAGATTTCCACTTCCGGTTGATCACTTTTTAAGAACCACACCGTGTTTAGGCTCATTTTAATACTTTAATCTTTTTACCGCAAACAGCGGCGCCATCTATAGAGATTTACATTGTTATATCTATGTATATTTTACTAAAACTCTTCTTAAAAAATTCTTGAAGAAATCTTCATTATCTAAATAATGCAGAACGACTAAACAATTCATAATTTTGTTTTCAAAAACTAATCACGTTTTGCGTGAATTATCGTCAACACTTGGTGTATAAAAATCAACTAAAGATCAAATTCAAGGTAAATGCAGGGCAAATGGTGAACAATAGATCGGCCGCATAAACATCAGACACAACAATAAACTATGAATCATCATCACACAGGTGGATAGATAATTCTAAAGAAACACTTTTCAATTAGGAACTGTTTTAGGTTTCCGTCTTGAATTTCAACTAAATGCAACACCCAGTATGTAAGGCATCATTAATCACAACTCTTTCTTTCTTCCCTTTAAATCAACTTCAAAGCACATTAAAACGCACTTCATTAAGAACTAGGTCAAACTCGAAATAGAGTAAACAAAAAAATAAGTTAATCATGGTTTAAATTGTTTATTAGATAAGAATACTATCGTTTCAAGATAATTTCTTTGAATATCTTAATAACTCTCATTCGGTTTTTTTTATAGTTATTGTTATTTGTTTATTCAAAACAAATAATTGAAACAAACAAAAAAGTTTCTTCATTTTTTTTAATCACGACAAATCCGTTGTCGAAAAATTCTTTTGTATCTCGCTAAAAGATTGAATCATCATAGGATGAGAAGCAACATAACCTCTACAAACAATGAAGAGAATCGAAGAGCGCGGTAACTTTTTTTCTCGTTGTTTTTTTGACTTTTCATCAATTGTTTGTCATTTAATAAACATGCGTTTCGATCGTTTTTTGTTTCTAACTAAAATTAAAAGAGAAGTGGGAAGTAAAATTGTACTTACACAGAAGAAAACGTCAGTTACAGATGTCCTGATGCGAGTTTAACTTGTCATTTCGTCCTCAAACCGGCCCCGATAATTCACCTCAGACACTTTTCACTAAATAGCACCTCAAATAACAACACATACCGCAAATCTTAAGCTAAATATACACTGTTTCCATCTCGCTCGAGAGTCACACAGTGTCACTTGCAAACATAACACGACGCGAACATGGCGACTAAACACAGAATACGGTATGCGGTTTAAAAATCTTGCGGGAGCGCCATCTACGCGGGTATCACGTTGTACTAAGAGGTTTTATTTACATCATGTGAAAAAGATAGGTTAGGTTAAATGTCATCCGTCGAATTTTAAAAGATTGTTTAATTTTTTTAAACGTCAATAATGCACGATGAAGATTTTTATTAATCCGTGAAAATGAGAAGGGTGCTTCTTCTTATTATACTATTTAATGTGAAGATTACTTTTGGATCGGTCGGAAATGCTTCGCCCTACTTTAAACGTTGCAGTTACGATTGCACTCGAATCAATTGCACGTTAGGTAACTAATTAAAAGATTTTTATGTAGATAGAACATAACAGTTTAACTTTATTTTTCAGATGGATCAAAATATAAAACGAACAATTTACAAAACTTTTTTTATACTTTAACTTATTGGAGATGTGAAAACGAGTGCGAATATATGTGTATGTGGGATACAGTCGATTTGTTTCAAAAGAGACAATATAGAATACCACAATTTTATGGAAAAGTAATGTTAAAAACATTTTTTTAAATCCTAATATTGTATTTATTGTTATTTAGTGGCCCTTTATTAAAATTTTAACAATTCAAGAACCAGCTTCTACAATATTTTCATTAATTAACTTGTATGCTCATATTAAAATGGCTAAAAGGATGAAAGAAGAAATCAGATTTGGGAGTCCAAATTTATGGTTGTGGTATGGACATGCTATTGTAAGTAGTATTAAAGGTTTTAACATAATAATACAACAAAAATAAATCATTTGATCTCATATGATTGATGTAAAATGATATTAACAATGATTAATCTAAATTATTATAAACTATTGTTGTAGTTATTCTCACACTCTTGGATATGGTCAGCAATATTCCATGCAAGAGACACAGAACTAACAGAATTCATGGATTATGTTTGTGCATACTCAACAATTCTATATTCTTTTTACACCATGTTAATGAGAACTCTATATAACTCCTCAAAAAAACTTCTAGTCATTGTAACAGCTCTTTGTCTTTCATTTTATGCCAGTCATGCAACTTATATTTATACGGGTAGATTCGATTATGGTTATAACATGCAAGTAAATGTTTTTACAGGTAAAAATTGTAACCATAAAAAAATTTGATTTAATTAATTTATTTTAAAGGAGTATTAGCTGTTGTTGGATGGTTATCATTTTGGCAGTTAAATAAAAAACAGATTTATACTCGAAAAATTGCTTTATACTCAGTTTATATTGCTGTAATGACTCTTTTGGAACTTATTGATGCACCACCTCTTTTATGGACATTTGACTCACACGCGATATGGCATGCAAGTACAATTCCTGCAACATATATTGTTTACAGGTAAGATTATTAAAAATAATCTTTTTCTTTTTGTGAATTTTTTTTTAGTTTTGCAATAGATGACTGCAAGTACTTAAGGAAACAGATGGAATTTTCACGAAAAGATTCCTTTTAAATACTCATTAATAGTCTTCCTTTTGATATTGTAGAAAATATATCATTCCATACAACTAGTTTGTTTATTTTTTAATTACATCTTTTTTTAATTATTAACAGTAATTAATCATCCACGACTGCAACTGCTGCAAAAGAAAAACTTACACAATCGTATAAGACAATTCCGTTTTTTCTTGGGAGTTGAATCACTCGAATTTTCTTTAATACTTTTTTTCCTTTTACCTCTTGTCCCAACTTTTTTATGTTTTTTAACCTTATTTGATTTTTGGGATTTGCCCGAAGATGTATTTACAGACGAATTAGAAGATACATCATGAGTCTTCGTAATACTAAATTTCCTCTTCACCTTCCCTTTCAGCTTTCCTCCCCTTTCTTTCACCTTCGATGTGTGCGCTTCATATTCTTTCTTCATACGTTCGTTTTTTTTACAATAACAAACTCGATTAGCATAACCATCATCCGCGCAATAAATTTCAACAGCAGCTATACCTTTTTCATTCTTTGGAGAATTCGAAGAATGATGGGATAAAAAATCAACGTCTAAGTGTTGATGTTTTTTAGTACTTGGTGTTGATGGATTTGATGGGGAATTATGTTGAGTTAATTCGATGTCGTTGTGATCTTTTTTTGTGTGGTTCTTTGATGGGGTTTCTGCTGTTAAAATAATAGCATCTGTGATTATGGTTTTTTCTTTGTCAGTTTGGGCTCCAACTGTACTTGTTTTTAGAGGGGTTGTGTTTATTGCCACGGTGTGCGTTGATGAAGATTTTTTCTTCTCTTCGGGTATTTTTTCTTTTTTGCGTTTTCGCCCACAGCAACTTTTTCCTCTCTTTTTACAGCTATCGACAGGAAAATTGTTTAGTGTCATAATGTGGTAAGATCTGGTTTTATTCAAAAGTGCGTGATTTGGCGAAGAGTCACGCATTATTGAAAAAAAGTAGTAATTAATTTAATCTTAGACATGAATTGTTAAAAAATGATATTAATAAATACACTAAACATAAATAACACTTTATTATTTACTGTCAAAAAATTAATTACACTATGTACCACGACAACAAATCATTTTACACATTTTAAATATAGAACATTTCCCTTTGTTTTTCTTATCGCCCTCACTCTTCGTAGTATCCTTCTTCTTCCCTTTTTTCTTTGTTTTAACTTTCTTAACTTTTTGTTTTTTACCTTTCTTACCAGTTTTTCCCTTATTAACATTTACACCCGATTTCCATATGCTGCTTTTAGATTTCCCGGACACTTTAGATTTACTGGTAACATTACTCAGACTTTTTCGACTGCTTGACGCTAAAGGTGAAAAACCCGAATCAATCAAACTTCTAGTTGGTTTACATTTTATGCAATGGCATCGTGTGCTTCTAACTTCTTTAGTGCATTGGATACAAGGAAGTTCTATAATTCCCGCAGGGTGAGTATCAACGATCGATGACGTTTTTGGGTGTAAAAGGGTGTTAAGTATTTTTTTTGCCAGAAATGGTACTGTTTGTGTACTGATTGTGGCTTGCATTGCTCGATTTTCTTGATCGTAAAGTAAACCAGGACAAATTGCATCGCATTCATATTTAATTTTGGATTTATTCTTCTCATCTTTTTGATGTTTTTCTTGATGATCTTTGTGTTCTGTATGGTCTTCATGTTCTTTTTTTTGTGTGTCCTTTTTTGGCTTCTTTCTACAACAAGAACACCTCATTTTATTTTTTTTCGTGGTCGTATCATGTTTAGATAAAGCATGTATTGAATGCTCCTCTGATATCATTCCAACCTCTCTTTTCTTTCTTGTTTTCTTTTTCTCTTCTTCATCTCCATATGTATCAACAGAGGTTGTAGAAGCACGCCTTCTTCGCTGACAACACGCGCAAAAGTTACGCCGTTTGTGTTGAGTCTTTTTAATATCAAGTTCGGAGGATCTACAAATTGGTTCTTTACCAATATCATGGATTGATTTCGTGTTATGTTCTGCTTTGTTATGATGTTCCTTGTGTTTTTGGGGTTGGTATATACATTGGTGGGGACATGTTTGTTTTCGCTTTCTACCACAACTAAATGAATTGTTAATATTGTACATGATTTAATAAGAATCGCGCATAATATATTTCACATTCTTTTATGAGTTATTAAATCAAATTGAATTAATAAAATAAAAATTAATAAATATTAAATTAGAACCTTTCCAGAACTCACTGGAAAGGGAGAAGTTACTTCAACACATCACATGGCTCATGATGTGGTCATCATGGTAGTCAACATCCAAGCTAAGCCTTTTAACCTCAGTATTGTACAACCAGAGGTAATCCAGAGTGATATGAATGCAAAGATCGGGGACACAATCGCCGATGATGAATACAAAAAGGTGGTAGAAAAGTTAGCATTGGGTTCTACCAAGAAAATAAACTAGTTGTGGCAAACACATTACTCCAACACCATCCACGCCCACTGTATACTGGGAAATCACCGGGAGAGAGATTCTGGAACTGATTTCATCATGGTCATCTCACACTGAAAATCATCCGCCTTCCCGGATGCTAATTGCGGGTACCCACTATTAGCATCTGGGATTGAGGCCTTCCGTTAATTGCACCTTCCTCCGGATGATTTCCTGATATTCGTTACCTTTGGTCTAGTTTTGCCAAAGTAGGATATGCATAGGTCTTTATTAGTTTGCGCCTCTCTTGCTTAGTGTCAATATTGATTTTCGCTCTTTCCTATATCCACTTCCTTTGGGGTGGTTTCTTAGAGTGAGTGTTCAGCAAGAATAACCTTCTTTCATTTTAAAATGCGACATTTCATGTATGGACGGAGTTGTCAACATTGAGAAAAGCTGAAATGTGATTCAGACGAAATCCAGAGATGAGACCTATGCACCGACTTAGAGAGAGAGAATAGATAGATAAATAAAAGGAAAATTTATTTCACAAAGTTTTATCCACGACATATATACATCTTGCATATTCTCACTAAACAACATCGACGTTTTTTTTTATCGTCCGTTTTATTCGCAGTACTTTTCGTTTTTTTTAATTTGTTGCCCTTAATCCGCTTTTTCTTTTTGTTTCCCTTTAATTTTCCCCATAAACCTTTTTTGTGTTTCTTTTCAGAACCTGTAGTGACCGACAACGCTGAGTCAGTCGGACTTGTTTCGCTGATAATTCCTAATTTTTTCCTGGCCGACTTACACTCTGTACACTGGCACTGTTTGGGTTTAAACTTTTCTGCACACGGTTTTTGACATTGTCCCTTACTAATAGTTGAATGAACGCTGGTGGCGGCAATTCCATCATCTGGTTCGTCAAAGATTGAATCAGTGACATAAAATTCGGGTAAATAATCGGTTTGAGCTGCGACAGAAATCATATCTTGATGTGCTAAAATTTTCCAATGTCCACATTCTAAGCTGCAGACGTGGTGATGTTTGCTTTGGCAACAACCTTTTTTGTGTCGTCTTCTTCGTAGAGATTGGATCGAAAGGTCGTCTTCGTCACAAGTTGCAGCATCGCTTTTATTACCGCAGCATCCAGACAGCTTTTTCCTAAAATAATGTTTATTCTTTGCGTTCGTTGATGATGACGTTAAAATTTAAGTGTTTCACATTCTTTTACAACTTAAAAATCCATTATATCTTCTCAATTATGCTTAAACTTCTTAATACACCAACAAAATTTAGATATAGATCATATTAGGTTTACTTACCTTTGAATGAGCCCTAGAAATTTTAATATTAATAATTAATTTGTTAATATTGCTTATATTTTTGCAAAAGAATGTGAAATACTTATGTTACAAAATGTTGATGACACAAAAATTCACTGTTTTCACTCCTTAAAAAGAATTACTTGTTTCAAATGAAATATATCATTAATAATAATTTTGATCTTGCAAAAGAATGTGAAATACACTACACAATTAACTTTTAAATCAAAATTTTCAACTTACCATCCACGCTTTTTAGGTTCTTGCTTCTTTTTATGATGTATATGCGAATGTGATCTGTGTCCATGTCCATATAAATTTTCTGTTGTACCAAATTGATACGCTTGGAAATTAGTGTTGGCAAAGAAAGAATCGAACGGCGCATTTTTAATTTCCTGGGGCTTATCACCAATATCGTGCAAAAGACACAAACATTGCTGGAGGTTCTGATTAATTAGCCGAATTTCGCTTTGTTGTTTCTCAAATTCGTTTTGTAGTTTCACCAAATTTTTATGGCACGCGCATGTGGGATTAGACCCCATTCCTGGAGGTGGGAAATTTCCATAAAATGGTGGTTTGTAATTATTATAGTTTCTGATTTCTTCTACGTTATTATAAGGATATAAAAATTGAGTTTCAATTGGGTTGAATAAACAGTTTTGGTGATAAACAAATCTATTTGGTTGCTTATTATAATTGTTGGAAAGTGAAATCGAATGATTTCTTGATGATTTTTTAAATAATGTCTTTAATTTATTAAATACAAAGCTGTATTTTCTTCTTGAACTCGACGAAGAGATACTACTATATTGAGATTTTAAAACTTGATCAATACTAACAGTTTCTTCATTTTGTTCAGAGGTATTTTTGCTTACATCAGACACAATTCCTCTCAAAATCTTACAAATGATTTTATCGGATGTGGGTTCTTCAGTATCTTGTATAATTTTAAGGGCTCTAACAATATCCTCGTCTTTAACCCCACTAAGAAAACTTTTTGAGAATTTTTTTGCTAACTTTTCTCGACAAAGATTTAAAATTTCTTCTTGTTGCTTTATTATCTTGTGGTATGCTTTGACGCTTCCGGAATGCCGTAATAAGTAATTACGTAATACTGGATGGTTTTTTTGCGAGTCAACGGAATTTAAGGTTTTAGAGGTACAATTTTTGTGAAGTGGTTCCTTGTAGTTTTCTAGCACGTCTCTATAATTACAGATGGTTCGTTTCTTACAATCACTGCTTGTTAAGTTTTTCAACAAATCATCGCTTGACTCTATTGAGGGTTGAGACGTGAAGTTTTCATTCACATACAGCTGCAAAGAACATTTGGACATTGTACGGTTTCAAGATAGTGTAGTCAGCTTTAGCTTTCTACGTTATGAAGCACATTGTAAATTTTGAAATAGCCTGACAGAGAGTTGACAATTCTTTGACAATAACCTTATTATTTACTTACCTATAAACTGTTGATATTAAAATTCTTTATCGCATTAAATAAATTGAATTGATTGATGCCGAAAAATTGTAATTGGTGAGTTATAAATTAAAAATAATAGAATAATTTTGCTTCGCTAAATATATTTCCCTATTATTATTGTCACAGTCACAATTTTTATTCAATACAATTATAATCGTAGTATAGTTCATGACTTTAACTTTCCCAAAACATTTTCAACTGATTTTTTTTGGCAGTCAAAGGAATAAATATCAAGAATTGCCGACGATTGCAAAATCACAGAGTATCGAAACAGAGAATTCATATATCGCAGAACTAATAGAAGTAGCTCCGTATTAAAAACTTCCAGGACTCCTAATTATTTGAGAAGGATATACAATAATAATTTACAAGTCCTTCTGGTGGTAGGCAAAAACATTAAATAGTATAGGTCTCTGTAAAGTCATGGTGCACTTTTGAGCAATCGCAGAAAACCAACAAAACTTTGCTATGACCAGTCAAAAGTGTACCATGACTTTACAGATACGCTGTATTACAAATTTCAATGGTAACAGATAAGTATACTTTTTCCTTTAACATTTTCCCATAATATTGAAAAATTACAAAACAAATTGTCGATATAACGAATGATTTGTGGGAAATAAACGTTTAAAAATTAAACGTCAATATATATTTATTATTTCGTTTAATGGTAGTTGATTGCAGAAGAGAAGTCTGCGAAAAATAATTAATGTTTAAATTTAAATCCTTCAAGTCGATAATTATTGATTATTTATTTATTTACCCGAGGTCTTGTCTTGGGTAAACTTACTCGTTACTCGGCTTTATCACATGAAATTGTAGATCTTTTGAGTAGTGAAGCCAATTAATTTATTAATTATTAAAACAGACTCGTATCTGCATTCAAGTAAATAACCAATTATTTTGTTGTTTAAAAAGTCACTTGATTCAAAATTATTCCCACAAAACATCTTGTACAAGTCGTATATAATTCAAATATTAACAGTATGATCAATTTTTCGTTACAAATAAAAATTTAAGGTACTTTATTATTAGTTTTAGGCAAACTAGTAAGCTCTTTTATAGAATAGGTTGCGCGTTGTGTTCGCAATAGGATTACAAACTACACAAAAGAATTCTACGCCTCCAACAGCAGGCATACACACGCATGATTGTGACATCACATCCAAGTTTTTTTAACGATCAATAGTGTTATATTCATTTCTGCAACATATCCAACCAATTGTCTAGCAATCAGTTTTACCATAATTTTATTATCAATACTGTACACTTTATCAGCAAGTTTTGAAATTTCAAATTATAACCAAACTACATCAAATATGTTGCATTAAAATTTTTTTTTACAATTTTCTTTTAATTACAAATAGCCAATTCCAAAATTTGTTATTCGTTTTTGTTGAAAAAAAATAATTTTCTTATAAATATGTATATTTACAATAATTATCAGATAACCTGCATCTGTTTGTTAAAATAAATTTTTTTTATATAATGTAAGTACATTGGCAAATAGAAAAACTTATTTTAAACTTATCTACAAATTAGAGCTGAATGGCAAGACTGGTTAATAAACCTGAAAACATTTGTTTAACATTAACAAAATATAAATAAAAATATAGCGTTATAACTTGTTTATACGCCAATAGTTAACACAGTGTGGAATGTTTAGTTTCATGAAGTACGAAAGCATACTAACAATAAAGTATGGACTATTTAAAAACTAATCAAATTCATCAATAAAACAAATCCTCAACAATTCAAATATACAAAAATATACAGAGGCTTTTTAATAAGATAATAATTATTATTAAAAGCAATGGACGAATGTAATGACTAATAAAAAATTGTAGGTAAGTTTTTTATAACAAAAACATCATCAACGATGAAACAAATTGCTAAGTATAACAAATTGGTCCGTTCCAGAGTTGATTCTTATTGAAGGGTATTATTTTATTTTAATATTATTTGTGCAAGTTAATCACATTTCTGGGTTTTTATTAATCCCAGGTTGTGATAATAATTTTATGTCACATTATTAATGAGTCACGCTTTCATAAAATAGATACACATTTATGCCGAAAATTAATCGATTACCCTTCAATAAAATTAAGTTTCAAATTTATTAATTATGAGCAGCTCTTTTTCCACTCATGTACCCACGCCATCTATCGGCCGTTTGGGCAAACAGAGGTTCATTATCAATAGTACTCAACAATAGCAATTGATTTATATGGGTTGCATGGTAATCCCATCGAGCTAAATTGGGTGCAATACCCAATGTAAAATGTCTTAAATCGTAGGAAGTAGTGCTTCCCATATCAAATAATGGTAACATATTCTTTAAAGAAACCATACCATCATTAAACAATAATTCGGCCTCCTTAACGTAATTCGGAGGCGTGATTGTCATTAAATCGTACAAACCCAACAAAGAGTATATGAACCCATTAAGTACAAAAGACGAAGGTTTCGTTGGGTACTCTTCGTACCAATGGTATTTGCTTAAAAACGTTGCTAAAACGCCACCGTGGGCGCTTGGTATTCTGAACGGTTTCAAAGCAGCTAAAGCAGCTTTTAAGTACTTTACATCACCGCCGGAATGATGGTATGCTCTAGAGAGGACCGACATAGCTTGACCTTGTCCCATCGCCGAGTACCAGCCCGGCTTTAAATCTTGGAAGCCTGACGCCAACTTCCGTTTTACGGGAATTTGCCAACCGCCAGTGTTTGGATCTTGGTTTCTTACAAACCAATCGGCAGAATCGTAAAATTGAAGGATATGTTCTGATGAAGACAACGTTAGGTTATCAATAGCACCCTTTCCTCTGAGTATTATGTTAACTACTTTTAATTTTGATCTGGAGACTTTGTTTTTCGATTTGTCTTTTTCAAGGTAACTTATACCTTTTTGAAAATCTATTATTAGATCACGTGTGATTCGTTTCCATTTTGCTATTATTCCAATACCGTGATAAATATTGTTGTTCTAAAATAAGAAAATTGTATTTTTTTAAGTGTAACTAAGGGCCGGTTTATCAATGTCGAGTTAAATCTGTTAGGTACAGATAGCACAGATTAGAACAGATAACCTCAGTGAAGCGTTTATCCAGCAACTTTCTACCCGCCAGGTAGCAACCAACAAGATAGAAAATAGATGGTACCCTTGAGTGTTAATATTAGAAACGGAAATGAAACGTAATTGATCAAATTTGAATAATTGACTTTCGTTTGTGAAGTTGATATAAACAGCTGATCGTGTTTTGGAGGTTAAATTATAAAAGAAAGACAAAATCACTTTGAGGAGTTGGACGATTTTTTTGTTAGATTTCGGTTAAAAAGGAGTCAGTTTTGTCAATCTTGGTTAAAATTGAGACGAGATTATACAGGGTGACAAAAAAGCACAGAATACATTCTGTCACTTTTTTAAGTACAATAATGACATTTTATTACACATTTTTCTTTAAATTCTAAATATCAGGAAAACTATTAAAGTTAGATATATGACATATTTATCATTAATTAAAGGGAACTTGATGAGTAATTCAAGTAGCACACAATATACAGGATGTTCTATTTAAAAAACTTAAAAAAAAGCCATTTGAAAAACGTCAAAAGTAGCTAAGCTTTATGAACACCCTGTATAGTGTATCTAATATCTTTGAATACTATCATCTACCTACTGGCTTTGACCATTGTCTGACGGAGTTTCAAGGCAAAATCGGAAAAAATGTCGTTTTTGCGTCATTTTTAAAAAGATCCTGTAATGGGCACATTTTGGAAAAACAATTGAATATCTTAGGAACTATGAACGTTGTGAAATAGTAACAGTACGGTTGTATAAACAAATTTAATTGTATCCATTATATGATAAAATAAATAGGGTGTTCCATTTAAATAAATTGACGTACTCTTCGTTACGCTTAAATGGAACACTCTGTATAAGTGAAAATAATTTTACATAATAGAAAATGATGAGTCAAACAACTTTTGTATAAAATATTTTTTTGTTTTTCAAACGGTTTAGTAACTATCGACCGACGGGATATTAATAACTCACCCTGTATATTAGATTATAGATTATACAGGGTCATCCACGACGACCGTTCATTAGAACTATACAGGTTATGGCCAAAATAAAAATTTGAAAATTCAGATTTAACTATTATCAATTGCGTTCTCTTCAACTAAAATATTTTCAGGTTTCTAGCACTTCCGGTTGTACCGGAAGTCGCTACCTACTTTATTTTTTTAAATGGAACATCCTGTATATTTTTATATATTTGGATTTGTCTATTTTCAAGGTTTATGAATAACTTTACATTTTGCAATTTGATTCAGCCGTTCTCGAGTTATTCGAATTTTTCTAGAAAAATCTGCTGCAGCAGACATTTGTTCAAAAAATCAGAGAACACTCGATTTTTGGGATATCAACTTAGGATTCAGAACATGCTTAAGCCACATGATGGAGTATGTTTTGGTGCCGAGTTTACTATGGCACGTTAACTTTTCGAAAGTTGGAAGTACCATAACTTCATTTCTCCATAACTAAGTAAACCATAACTTCAGGCGATCTATCGTTTATTCTATTCTGTGGGGTTACTTAAAATCCAAGGTTTATTTTAATAGACCTAATAATTTAGAGGCGCTACAGCAAAGAATTGAATTTGAATTGTTTTTTTGGGTTCAATAATTATTTTATCATTAAAGTTACGTTTTTATTTTTTAAAGTGAATGTGCTATTTTTCAAACAAATTGTTATGTAAGGTGCCAATTTTTTTACATCATCATTTATGTAGGTAGTAAAAATGGGGTTGTCATTTAAAAAAGTCATGATGACGTCACGGTTCCGAAATAGGTCCCGTCATACATGAAATTTTTACGCCACAATTTGGTTTTTTTAAAAATAAAATTGACCTGTCCGAGCGTTTTTCTTGAAAGTATTAAATAACGCAATTATGAATTATGTTCCAAACTTTATCATCACACGGTATAAATATATACAGAGTGTTCTATTTAAAAAAATAAAGTAGGTGGCGACTCCCGGTATAACCGGAAGTGCTAGAAATCTGAAAATATTTTAGTTGAAGAGAACGCAATTGATAATACTTAAATCTAAATTTTCAAGTTTTTATTTTGGCCAGAACCCTTTTTGTTTAGTTCTAATGGACCTTCATTGTGGATGATCGTGTATTATTATTATTTTTTTTAATTATTATATTATTATTTATTTTCTATAACATTTTTATATTTGTTTTCCAAATCAATCAGCAAGTTCTTTTCTGCTGTACTAAAATTCCATGATCTTTTTACTTTCTCTTTTTTATCCATCACCAAAATTATAAGCTTAATGTATTTTTGACATTATATTTTAATTTTGTTGTCATTTCCTATAAGATAACCCTAAACTACAGGTGGATAAACGATCCAGCGACGTTATCTATCAGCTACAATTTTAATTGACAAATAAATCGTCTTAACTAGATATTGATAAACCAGCCCTAAGTATTAATATTTACCTGTAAGCTGATATGTACATCAGATGAGATATAATGAAGATTGTAATTTTCTTTATTCTCCCTATTTTGTAAAACGACAGTTAAACTACTATTGGCTTGTAAAAGTATATTTAAAGACATGACAAAGTCCAAAACATGGTCCATTTTTAATTTAATCCCATTCGTATAAGCGTCAGTAGAAAAATTTAAAACGTTTGTTTCAAAAACAGTCAAATAAGTCCTAGTTAGGGAAGCACCTAACGGTACGGTCCATTTTCCCAATTCTTTATCGGCATTTTCAACCACTTTCCTTCTTGGTTCAGGTTCAGTAAGATTTTTACTATAATGAGCCAACCCAAATTGCGCTATTTGCGTGGGGTAATAATACCCCTGACTTTCCCATTGCGTAGACATTGGAACCCCTTCAATCCCACTAACACATTTTACTCGTTCGCGGATTTCAACGTTATAATTCTCAAAATGCATGAAAACTCCTCTCGGATCGTACCTTCCTTTAGGCTGATAAATCTTACTGTAACTATGTGACCATTCAAATCTTGATTTATCATCGTTGCTTGTTAATTTTCCATAAACTTCAAAGTATTTTTGTAAAAATGTGAATGGAACGTAAACTTCATCACCTTCTTTTCGACAATCAACACTGTAATCTCCATTAATTGTACATTCGATTCCTTCGATATCATGTCCTGATGATTTTCCTGATTCTCCTAGACAAATATGAGTATTTTGGTTTTTCCATTCTTTGTTTACGCAACTATTCCATAGTGTTGAGGTTAGAAATATGACGATTAAACATAATAGGCATAGTAAAAATTTATAATTCAGTCGCATCATTATAAAAAATAGTGGTGGGCCCTAAAATAAACAAAAAAGAAATTAATTAGTATCAAATTTCATCATTTAAGAAGCTAAATTATGTATATTTTAGTAGAATTAATTTAATAAACAATTGAACTTAAAAATTTATAGGTTAGAAATGAATGTTATTGAATAAATTAGTTAAACTTGAAACCTTTGTGGTGTGGTACGTTTTGCTTTTGACCACAAGGCCTGGATACGGGATCCCGGTGGAGATTTTCTGGTTATTCATTGAAAATTCGCATGACAGTGCTCAAGAGAGAAAAATTTGATCTGCATTAGCAGCATATAGTGACACCATTTCTCCGGATTGTCAACTTAGTGAAAGTTTTTGATCATCTCGAGAAAGTTTTACGGTAAGAAATCACACCAATTGCACGTTTTTATTAGCAACATTTCTTCGTTAAGCTAAATAAAACACTCCTACACACTCTAAACACTGTTCTCGATGGTCTAATTGCATTGCATTCAATGGGACCTTAACATACGGAGTAACAGATGGCGCTAGTACTCTTTAAATTTTCACAACTTTACAAATTTCTTTTAAAAATCCTAATAATTATCTTTTAATTAATCGGCTAAGTAGTGACTCAGATATGAGTAATTTAATGTCAAAAACATCTTAATTAGAGTTAAGCAACTTACAGAAAAATTGCGCTGTGAACTGTGTGACACCGACATTACAACTGCCTTTAAATATTATGCATTCGTTCATGCTTTGAATACATGTATTAGTAGTGCAAATAACTTTTCCGATTAACCAACTAATATGCAATTAAGTTCACTAAAACCGACGATGATCTAACAGATTTCCGCTACTATTTAGTAATGAAGTATTTCTACACTATTTTAAGCTGGTCTAAATAGATACCCGAAACTAAGAGGTTGTTTGTTGAAGATACGATTGCAGAATATCTTAAGTAATCATGGTAATCTATTATTTATTTAGGTATTGATTAAGAACGATTCGTTTTTATGTTATTTCTAATGATGATTTAACGATCTTTTGTATTTTTGCGAACATTTTGGTATCACACAACTGGCAATCGAAATAACGACCTATTGTCGAGATTTATGAAGTTATAAACTGTTATCTGTATACGATATTTTATTTTTACTTTTACATCAACCACAGATGCTTGCGGGATTTTAACGGATGCTAAGAAATGAGATAAAATAATCGAGAAAATATCAGGAATTGTGATGTTTATTCATCACTATTAATACAACAGTTTTTATTGTCAAAAAATATGTTTGGTTCAAATTCGTTTTAGATTTTGAGATATTATGACAATTTTCGTTTTTTTAAATGGAAACAACCACTTATGATTATTCGCTTATTAAATTCGTTATTTTTTTCTAATTACAAAAATATGGGGTTAGATGGGTCTATTTCTTATTGTTTTAGAATAAAGCTAAAAATAAGCTTTTTTTTAGTGTCGACAAAGAAATTAAATTTACAGATTCCTGTAAATTACAGTACTATAACTAAAAATTTATATAAAATTTACTTTATTTTCTAATATGTAACATTCTAACATGTTAAACTTTTCGTAATTTTCGTAATCCATCTTAAAAAAGAATTTTTAATTTGACACTTCAGAAAATTTTTGAATACAAACCTATCTTGCTATGTTTATTTGAATTAAAAAAATAAAGTCCCTAGATTATTAAAGTACCGCGCGTTCATAAAGCGTGTATATTCGAAATATTCGAGCCAAAATGGCGGTTTGATAGCTTGTCACCACATTAACAAAAATAATGCCGTCGTGTTGCGTTTGGAGTTGCAGAAATAGCAGTAAGAAGGGCTTTCGACTCTTCCGAGTACCACGAGAAAAAAAAAAGAAGGGAAACTAAGTGTAATTTTATCAACAAAACGACATAGTTTTAAATTTGACTTTCGAGCCAAAATGGCGGCAAACCACGATATTTTTATAAAAAAAATATATATATGAGCGCCATCTATCAATAATTTATTAAGTCATTTAATAATAATATTAAATATTAATAAAAAATGTGAAATAATGTAATCTATTCCAACTTTTGTGTAAAACAATTGTAAATTAAATAGTTCAACAAATGAATTTATTTCAAATATCAGAAATATATTTTTTTTAATTTTTAGTTATAATTTACAGGAAACTGTAAATTTAATTTCTTTGACACTTAAAAAAAGTTTATTTTTAGCTTTATTCTAAAACAATAAGAAATAGGCCTGTCAAACCTAATTATACTCTGTTTTAAACCAGGAGGAGAACCAAGAATCAATAATAAGTAAATAAATAAATAATAATTATTAATTTAAATTTACCGCTAAAATATCTAGTGATATTTTCTGGTGATTTTTCCCAGTGTAAATCTGACTTTCGCGTTTACTCCTCCTGGTTTAAAAACAGAGTATAGTTCTAGTGCAAGTGTTAGTTCTAGTTTTAATTGTTATTCAGCGCTAAGTTGTATATTTTTAAGTTTCGGGTTTAGCACTGTGTCTTCAGACGCTGAATGTTAGGTAAGGTTAGTTTTGTTTACAAACATTAATTATACCATGAAGTATTCTTTGGCAATTAGTAATGGCAATTATAGCGTGAAGTTTTCTTTTGTAATGTCAATTATAGCGTGAAGGAGTGTTCGGTAAGGTTAGTTTTGTTTACAAACATTAATTATACCTTGAAGTTTTCTTTGGCTCAAACCGAAATTTTTTTTCATCAAATTCTCTATAAAAAAGTGTCCATATAATGTCTTAGTTATAATACTCCACCTATAATAATAACCAAGATAATTGCACTTATTGGTTTTACGATATTTTCAATTGTGGCCTCTAGGGGAAAAACAAGACGAGCTATGAGGTTTTCGGCATTAGCAGTTTTTCAAAAAACGAGATCATGACATGTAAGCTACTTTTTCTCTAACTCTTATAATTTCCGAGTTAGCCTATTCGGATATCGAATTTGAACCACCCTGTACATGAAACTGTTTATTCCTAATGATTCACTTATTTTTAAATCTCCGTTGAAAGTTATTATGAGATTGAATTTATTACCAAATTTACATTAACAACTAAATTTTAGATATTATAGATAAGGAAGCTGAAGTTCAAAGAATGACCAAGAAGAACAGGTAAAACCCTCAACATTAGATTAGGTTAAACAAGCTATCAAGACACACAGAAACAACAAGAAAGGAGGCAAACATAATTATTAACCTACATTCATCATCGCATCATCATTTGAGGTTGTAGAATTTTTGTTGACTAATTAAGCCAAAGATGCTTGCTACCAAGACTTAGTAATTAAGTTAGACTATATATTAAGCAAGACTTAGCTGATTAAGATCTATTATTAAGATTTTGAATCAAAAAAAGGAAAAACTTTCAAGTATTTAATTTTAAAAATTTTAACTTTTTTTTCACAATTTTAAAACTCTTTAAAAAATATAACTATTCAACATTAAATAATATGGAATATCTCGGAAGAAACTTTAAAGTTAATAAATTAAAAAGTAGTATAAACGCCATCTATGATGTTTAGATTACTTGATTAATGTTGTAACTATACAACAATATTGTTGTTATACTTTTGTACACAATTTTAGTATGAAATGGGAGATCATTTCGAAAGAAGTAAAAGTAAATACATATTATGGGGATTGTTTAGTTTAGAAAACAACCCGTAAAATTGCGCATGCTTGTAAGTTAACATGTTCGCGGTGAAGTTAGCGTATATGTATGTGTATGGGGGGGTGGGTGCGCATTTAATGTTGCGCGTGGATATATCACCGCCGCGCCTTCGGCCGAATCGATCGGCGGGTAGGGGGCGCACCAGTCGGACCAGTTTGCAGGGTTGCTGCCCGTCAGTCACAGACAGTCCTCCGCTAGTATATTGGCCAAGGATGTACCCAAAGAGACGGGAAGGTGCGTGGCCATGCGGTGTTGTGGTGTAGTGAGGCTCTTGCGGTCCACATAGCCGGCGAGGAGAGGACGGCAGCGGCGGAACAGTAGCCGCCCACCAAAGAGATGCCGTGATGGCAAGAGAGGTACCAAAGAGATTAACTATGATAACGATAATCCGTACATAAGGGCGAAACCCTCGAATTCGAAGTCACCACTACTGCATGAAAAACGTCCTGCTCTGCATCCGCAATCCGTGGTTATGTAGATGTATCTGAGTGTGTGTGTGGCACCCTCGCCCCATTGCAGTCAATGAACTCATCCTCTCTCTTTTACTCCCGCTGGTCGCCTTGCTCGATCTCTTTCTAGCACTAACCCCCGATCGCCAAACATTTATTTATATCTCATCTGTGTGCACACGATGGTACCGATTTCTATGAGAAACTTCACAGCTTCCCTTATTTCGATTATCTTGAATCATTTTTAAAACAGCCCTTTTGCAAGAACCATCCCCACCACCCCGTTCTTTATGAATGGTTTGATTACTGATCACTTCTCTTTACTGTAAAGAGCTAAACGCGGTTTATAAGCTACGTATTGGATGGTTGCACAAACACTAATCAAAATTAACCAACAGGTAAAGGGCCTCTTAATCAGTCACAGAGACCGAGGATCGCCACTTAAATTTTAATCAAACCGTGATTAATTTTGACTATCGCTTGTACAACATAAACTATGCGTTTTAATCAGATTAACCACTATTTAAGAAAAATATTCAAAATGTCATGAATTATTAATTAAGCTTGTTTCACACGCGGCTAATTGTTTAATCAAGCAAACTGCTTTTTCGTTCGTAAAAAATTTGTAATTTAGATTTGTGTTTAGCTCACTAGATTGTTGACTAGATTTAAACGCATGTGCTCACATTGATCGAATACAAACTCACTTGACCACTTAACTAAACCACTAATTATGTGTTCACCGCCTTCACTTGTTATATTTCATTTAAATTTTTATTATTACCGTTGCGGTGGCTCAAAAACAGCATCATCGCGTCTTTAGTCAATTGGGGCGGTGCTACATAAAATAGACCACCTGACTTTGAAGGTCGATAATACGACAAATGTTCGATTAAATAAAGTTATAAAGTTTCTTGGAATCTTTCAACATATACTTTTAGTCATATACTTTTATTTATAAGTCTAATTCCTTGATTATTACTTTTATCGTAGTTTTAATATTGTGGGTATTAAATTTGAGCAATATTCCAAGATACTTAGCCGGCGGCGAACGTGATATATTGCTACACGTTGTCTCTAAAAATAGTGTTTTATTAAAGCTCATTTAACTTTCCATGCTTTGAATCAAATAAATAAACGATACATTTATAAATAACTTACTCAATATCCATCGGTGTTGTAAGTATCATGTACAGGTGTCCAAATTTCGATGGGTTCATCTCAGTTATTATGAAAGATAGAAAGTTGCTGCGTTTTTGTGAAACTTACAATGGCGCAAACCAAATTTTCATAGCCCTCTTCGTTTTTAATATACAAGGAGTGTTTCAAAATTTACGATTTTCAGGCACCTCGGCTATCCGGAAACGTAAAAACGGGTTCTAATAGATTTTTTCACGTAGAATACAATGGTGCACTTAGAATTTTTCTAGTCATCACGGTTTTTGAGTTATAAAGAGTTAAGTATTTTAGAAGTTGAGTATTCAGTATTTGAGTTGTGTTTATAACTCAAAAACCGTGATGACTAGAAAAATTCTACGTACACCATTGGATTCCCCGTGAAAAAATCTATTAGAACCCATTTTTACTTTTTTATTAAGTTTTCGGATAGCCGAGATATGTAGGTGTCTGAAAATCGTAAATTTCAATCAACCACTTAAGTTATGAAAGTTTGGTTTGCGCCATTGTAAGTTTCACAAAAAAGTAGCTTAGGTTCGCAAAACCCGCAACTTTCTATCTGTCATAATAACTAAGATACCCTGCAAACCCATCAAAATTTGGACACCCTGTACATGTTATACAGTGTGTTGAAATAAAATATAAATAATAATATATAAAATTGTCTTGAAAGGACACTCACTTCTAATTTGCAATATGTTCGAATGGTCGTAGAATTATGGTTTTAAAGCAGAGATGTAGAGACATGAACGTCATGGAAACACGAGAGAAATCTTCTCGAAAATGCCTCGGTTGTAAGCGACCTCAATGACTTTAAGCAAAATCGTTCGTTATACAAGGTGTATCTGAATGACGTGCCCAAACTTCAGGGGGTGATTCTTTAGGCAATTTTAAGGGTACTTTCTCATATAAACTATCAGCGATTTCGACTCCCCTGCGGAGCTACGCCCCTTCAAAAGTGGCGAAAAATTTTGGTTTATTTTATTTTTCCCGAAAACCATTAACACCAAGAAAACGAAATTTGGGAAATATGTTTAGCTTATAATAGGACATGTTTCGAGCCTATTTGTACTTTCAATCTTCCCTTCTAAATTACTAAACATAACCACCCTCGTTCGATTTTTGTCTAGATCTTTTTTATGACGATGATAAATACATTGGAAATATTTTATTTAGATAGACGAAAGTATTCTAAAACTTTTTTACCTCTCTGATGTTCTTCGAAAAGTTAATAGTTTCTGAGAAAAAAATTAATTAAGCAAACACTAACTGTTAAGCTGTAGCGTTGTTAATCGAAAGTTGGAACGAATTTTTAAAGAAAAAATCTTAGCAGGCTTAGCAATCTTTGTCAGAAATATTTTTGACGTTTAAATGTCAGTGGTTTTCGTACTATTATTATTGTTTTATTTAAAATTTTGAAACGTCGAGTGAACGAGCGTAAATGCGGTAAAACTTTATTCATAAATTAATTTGAAAAACAATAATAATAATAAGAAAACCACTGACATTTAACGTCAAAAATATTTCTGACAAAGATTGCAAAGCCTACTAAGACTTTTTCATTAAAAATTCATTCCAACTTTTGATCGACAACCCCGTTGTTGAACGGGCAGTGTTTGCTTTATTATTTTTTTTCTCAAAAATTAGTCGTTTTTGGAAAAATTTTATAGAGACAAAAAAGTTTTAGGATACTTTCATCTACCTATGTAATTTTTTCTTTAATGTATTTACCCTCTGCATAAAAAAATTTTAGCAAAAATGTAAAGGGGGTGGTTACGTTTAGTAGTTTAGAAGGATAGGTTAAAAGTACAAATAGGGTGAAAACGTGCCCTACTACCAGTTAAACATATTCCCCAAATTTCGTTGTCCTAGCGTTTATGGTTTTTGAGAAAAAAAAATTAAACCAACATTTTTCGCCATTTTTGGAGGGGTGTAGCTCCTTAGGGGAGGCCAATTCGCCCATGGTTTATATATCAAAGTACCCTTAAAATTGCCTAAAGAATCACCCCCTGAAGTTTGGGCATGTCATTCAGCTACACGCTGTATAATATATTGGTAAAGATAGAAAATCTCTTATAAGAAAAATTTACTCTCAAACCGAAGAGGTCGCTTGCGAACGGGGCGCTAGAATCCTTAAAATTTGACGATTACATCTGGATACAACAAATTTGGTGCCTAAGTTTGAGGTTAAATGTTTCTTATACCGGGTGTCACACAAAAAACGCCCCAAGCTGTAACTTTGTCATTTACATTCCGATTTTCATGAGCGGGTTATCAAATGAAATGGTTTCATGAATACTATGATTCATGCTACAAATAAATTTTTTCCAAGGCCGTCTTCAATTTTAAACGATTATTAACTTTTGCTTTTCAAATTACTCTATATATTTTTCTTTGCGTCATTGGATAGAGATTGTTTTTCTGAATCCACTGATGTACAATACATCCATTTTGAATATAATTTTAGTAGAGAAAAGACACCTGTATATACAGGTTGCCACACAAGAACGCCGCTAGCTGTACCTCTGTCATTTACCTTCCAATTTTCATGACCTAGCTATCAAATGAAATGGTTTGATGAATACTATGATTCATGCTACAAATAAACTTTTTCCAACGCCATCTTTAATTTCTAGCGATTATCAACATTTGATTTTCAAATTGCTCGGTATGTTTTTCTTCACGCTATTGGATAGAGTTTTTTTTTCTGAATCCATTAATGTACAATACATCAACATTAATTGTAATTGTAGCATAGAAAAACATTAATATAGTTTTTGAACATTCTCTTAAAGTCACTTGTATTATACTGTAGTGTGCCATGGGATAAATGAAAAAACAACTTATAAGTATCATTTACAACTGCTTCGGGCATGGACGTAGCATTTAAAGGCTGTTATCAGTTTTGCGTGTTATTTTTTTCCATGGCACACTGCAGTATTACAGAAGTGACTAAGACAATGTTCAGAAAATGTTTTAATTGCTTTTCTCTGCTAAAATTACAATTAATGTTAATGTATTGTAGATCGATGGGCTCAGAAAAAAATCTCTATCCCATAACGTGAAGAAAAACATACCGAGCAATTTGAAAATCAAAAGTTGATAATCGCCTGAAATCGAAGATGGCGTTAGAAAAAGTTCATTTGTAACATGAATCATAGCATTCATCAAACCATTTCATTTGATATCTCGTTCATAAAAATCGGAAGTTAAATGTCAGAGTTACAACTTACGGCGTTCTCGTGCGACAACCTGTATATACAGGTGTCTTTTTTCTGCTAAAATTACATTCAAAGTGGATGTATTGCACATCAGTGGATTCAGAAAAACAATCTCTATCTAATGACGCGAAGAAAAATATATGGAGCAATTTGAAAAACAAAAGTTAATAATCGCTTAAAATTGAAGATGGCCTTGAAAAAAATGTATTTGTAGCATGAACCATAGTATTCATCAAACCATTTCATTTGATGCCTCGGTCATAAAAATCGGAATATAAATGACAGAGTTACAGCTTGGGGCGTTTTTTGTGTGACACCCTGTATATCTTGGCTAGACGAAGATACAAAGTTGTTTATCCTCAAATCAAAATAAATTGTAAAAAACATATTCAAAACATCGAAGTGAAGTGTCAAAATAAACAATCTCTCCAATTGATCACCGATACTGGTAGATTGTGTGCATGTGTTTTGCCCGCTTTCAACCAATGACCATTGTGGGCCCGCAGGTAAAATAACGTCGAACATTTTAAGCAAATTTCACAATTCTTGATTCAATTTAATAATAACAGGTCAGCTATTAATGCTGACAAGAATACCAACATAGGAATCCTACCGAATGGAAAACGTTTGAACAATATTAGCTATGCCGATGATACCGCGGTATCCACAGACAGAAAAAAAAAGTTGAGCTTCATTAATTCTCATAAACAAAACAAGCCAATACGGCTTAAAGATTAATATTAGTAAGTCGAAGTTCATGGTAATTAATAAGGAGACTTGTTGGGAGGTATGATTTAATGGTTAACAACACACCAATAGAGAGAATATCTGGTGACTGTGATTAATGAGGATTGGGATCATTCTCAGCAGATTAGGTCAAAAATCACCACCTCGGTATCGATATCAAAATCAAACTCCTCAGATGCTATGAGTCCGAGTAAGCGTTAAAATTTGATTTATGAATTGTAATAGATGCAAGTTACTTGTATTCTTTATAAATTTAATTTTATTGAGTTCATCTATCAGCATTATTTTTATATCTTAACGCCTCTGAACTCGTTATTGTCTCGTTAAATTAAATATTTACCCATACAACCCATATAGAAGAACGTTCTGCTGATATGAAAAGTGCTTTAAAAAAAAATAAGTTTACTTTGTAATGCAGTCTAAACCCACTTTTTCACGTTGTGTTTATTGTGTATAAAATTATATAAGCAAAAACTTTTTAATTAGGCAAAGTTATAACATATAACATTATTTATAATTTTCATTTGGGATATGCTCTATGAAATATTGATGGATTTTAAAATTTTGATGAGAGTGATTAAAAAGAAAATTTAATAGTTTTCTGTTTTTTTTTATCATTCTCATAACATAATATGGTTATTACATATGACCTACACTTTACGATATCATAAATCACCAATTTCTCTCCACCGAGGTGGTATGTTACGCGTTCGGGGTCCGAGTGCAGGGTTACGTAACGTCGCGCGTCGCCACCGCACCGACGGACGGTATGTAGGGCAATAGCACGAGGGAGGGTGTGTGCTGTGGCGCTGAAGGAGGCGAGAAATAGGTTAGCACAGAATGAAGAAGAGAAACGGGGTGAAGGGGAATAGGAAGAGTAGGATGGCGTGTGCGTTCGTTGGCACCGGGTCGGAGGCGTCGTCGGTGGTGCAGTGGCGGCCGCTGCCCCGACGCACGGCGCGTGCACGGGAGGGCGCGGTGCACGTCGGCCGTTGCACCACTAGCCCCCAGTAGTAGTGGCGGTGTCGGTGACCTGACAGGAGGGTGAACCGGTTAGGGCGTGTTGGTTGTGCAGGGTAGAGTAGAAAAGTGGTCGGTCGGTGGGTCGTTGCCAGTAGGTCAGGTCACCACGGGAAAAGGAGCCTTCGAACGAGCCGCGCCGGATTTGTGTTAAGTTCGAGTTTAATTGCAACTGCGAAAAAAACTTTTCTGAAGGACTCTACAATTCGGTACCAGGTTATCTCTTGTGCCAAACCGCAAAGAGAACTACACTCGAACGCATTATCGAAACTAACCCGAAAATAAAGAACAAATTATCCGACCCCTTTTCTTTATCAGTAAAATTCAAATTTCACTTACTATAATACTTTACTTCAAACTTAGGATTAGGGTGGTGCCACTTAAATATTACCATATTTTCTTAAATCAGTTCATAACACCTTCTAAGAGCAACAAAATTATTGATTATTTTAAACTCATCAATTTAATCCAACCCCATTTCGTAAACTTACCCATCATCAAGTTATGGCATACATTAACTGTTCCTTATAATTGACATATCATCATCTTGCCATTCAATCTTTATAAATATAAGCAATGACTTTTGAAATTCGGAAGCAGTTTGTGTTAAAATGTGTTGTGGGTAAACTAGATGAAGCGTGCTAGTAGTGACGACTAAAAATCGTGGAGGTGTTTTTACACCAGAAATTAATATTGTTTGTTGGTCAGTTTGCATACATCCATGTGCATGCTGTTGCAGGAATCACGCGGAAAGAGGCCCTTCAAGCTATGGGACGGGCGTCGTAGCGTGCGCAAGGGGCTGGTGGTGGGTAGCCTAGAGGAGTTGGTGCAGAGAGGTCGAGATAAACTCGGTGTCTCTGTTGGAGAGCCGGTTCGACTCGTACTCGAAAGCGACGGCACCCAAGTCGAGGACGCCGAGTACTTCCGGACGTTGCCGGCCAATACCATCTTGCTGCTCCTTAGGCCTGGCGAACGATGGCTTCCGGCTGGAGTCGACGTCATACGTGCAGGTAATATCACTGCAAAATTTATTACGTACTGATCATCTTTCCTTTTTAAAAGGTAACACATTAAATGACCATTAATTCTTAGAGATACGATGTTTGCATTTGTTATGGTTGAGTGGTTTTAAATCAAACTTGTGCCAAAATCGGTTAATAATTAAAACCTTTAAAGTATTACGTTAACATACAATCTTTTGTTTAGTAGCTATCTCCGCAATACCGAAGATTGTGTGCGAGACCATCCACGCACTGGAGCTGCACGATGAGACGCCCTCGTGGAAGATTATGGACAACAAGGGTCGCGTGACGGTGGTCCTGCACTGGGATCAGCGATCCGGGCCGTCGAGAACGTCCTCGGAGGCGCCGTCGCCGGCCCCAGGCAAGTTCTCACCCAGTAAGCGACCATCGTTGGTCATACAAACGTCACTCGGCAAGAAAGAAACAGTCATTAACGACGTTTACCCACCACAGCCCCCGCAACCACGGTATTCCAGCCCCCAGATCACTGTGATAAACCACGACGACATCAAGCCGCAGCACCGGCTGCTCAAACAGGGCAGTTCTTTAGAGAGCGCCACCATCCACATTCACACTCCCGAGTGTGCTCACCACGCCCATCAGCCTCGAGCCGGAAGTCCCCAGAGTAATGGTGCCATCGAATGCGACTTTCACTGTTGCGCCCTGCACGAAGAAGGTCGAAAAATTGCAGTGCACAAGAGCGTTGCGACATCACCGATACAAGATGCTCAACAACAAACGTCGCCGCAGCCGCCGTCGAGACACGTGCGTTTTTTGGATATCGAGGGCGGTGGCAGCGGGCGTCACTCCCAAGCGGATCAGCACGAAAGCTCCGAGAGCGAAACTGAAAACACGGTGATGGAAGATGAAGCTATCACGTCGGAAAAGTTCCTCTTGCTTATCGACCAGTTGAGCGTTGATCAGAAGCGGCATCTCAGCATCAAAGATATTGGCATCATATTGGAACGGTTGAGTTCGAAGATCTTGGACGTGGAGCGGTTGGATAGAGAGAGCGAGAGTGACGATTGTTATAACTGGACGATCAAGGCGACGATAAGAGGCGATGTCCTGCGAGAGCTAGGCGTTATATACAACGGAAATTATTACGCCATCTCCGAACATCCCGGCTACAAAGAGGAAAATGAAGGCGGAGTAGAGGAAGTTGAAGAAGAGGAAGAGGAGGAAGACCGGCTGTGAGCTAACTTGACTGCCAAAGTAATTTGTAAAACTTGAACACTGCTACGACAAGCAAAAATCTGTATGGAAATCTCCATATTGTCGCAAAGCACAAAAACTCAGACGAAGATACAATTCGAAAATGAAGCCGGTACGCAACCACATATCGAATCCGAAGCGAATAATCGATATGAGCTACCAGCAGATTATAAAAATACTAAAGAATATTATAATAGTTGTTGATATAGCAAAATTTTAAATAAAGTAAAAAAATCGAAACGACGACATCTACAAAACCTATCATCCCCATCATCAGTCATCATCGTAGAAGATCACCGTAGACAATCGACAAGCGATTTAATTTCTTGTGCACGACGTAATAAAATTAACAAAAAATGCGTGTTCCACGTGTGTTCGTTATTTAATAAAAAATAATCATAAACAGAAAACGAAAATTATAAGGTCTACCAACTTTTTTTTTAACTTAGAACAATTGATTTTATTTTCTGGACTTGGTCGCGGCGTACCAAATGAATAAAACTACCACTGAAGACTACCGAGAGGGTTTAATAGGTCATAATTGCTTTATACTTTTTATAAATTATGTGTACCGAGTACTTAGCCGAAGGTTACTTATTTTTAAGATAATATATGAAATAGTCGAGGTATAGAATATATTTATAAACGAGTTGTTTAGGATATTGAAGATATTTATAAATGGATACAAAAGAATATGTACATTGCTCAATTGTCCTTTTTATTTTTATTTGTATATTCACTTGACGATATATATTATATATATACTAAACATAAATAACGATCAATTCGGGTTTGTTGTGATGGACGAAGGAAGAATGAAGAATTATTACCTATTATCTATCATCAGACTGTTAAGACAATTTGGGACTCTCATACCGTGTGTGAGGTGAGACGCAGTAGGTCTACATTAGATGATGAACTGTGTACCGTTTCCGTTGATGTTACAGAACTATTTTTTGTTCGACAACGGAATAATGGGTCATATACACGCATGTATGTAAGACTATCAGTGCCAAAATACAACATAATATAAAACGCGCACGCATTGTACAGTGGATTGATTGTTTTCTTTTACGAATTGTGAATGCCGGGTCGTCGTCAACATCGACGTCCCTTCCATCTTGGACATCAACGGTGAAAAGGGTGAAGAGGTCGAAAAGCGAATCCAGTCCGCAACAGTTGACAATCATTTGGGTAGCGGTTGGAGTGATTAAGTCCAGAATGGAGGTGGGCGTCTCGACGTTTTGATAAACGTTATCGTTGTTTGTGTTTTTTTTGGATCAAGGGGCTTTCCAGGTAACGTTTATACTTTATTATCACGTTTTGTATTTATTCAAAGGTGGTCAATTGCAATAAAACGAATGAATCAATCGCAAAATAAATTGGAGGATTTTTTTTTCGATGACACCAAACTTGAATTTTACTAAGAATAGTGAAACAAAAGCAATAAAAAATTGTCTTCCTTACTCCAATCTATTAGTATTTTTTTAGACATAGTACTTAATTATTGTTTGTCGTTGGGAAATAATTGATAGATTTATTGTTTTTTGATGTAAAGTTTAATTACGCCTCGTTTGTTGTAATTAACCACTTTACTAAAAAAAGGAAACAAAATGATCTGGAACAGCTCCTCACTCGGCTATAGCGGGTTAGAAGGGAATTAAATAAGCAGGAGACAACCGAGAAACCGGCGAAAAAAATTCATACACATAGGTGGAACAGTTACGCTCCATCCTGATATATTTAATTCTAAAGAAAACTAAATACACTGCCATCATGTAAAAAAAGTATATAATATAAAATAAAGATCGTATCCAACCCTATCTATGTATGTTGTGTTCATCAGCTGTTTGGGTGGGGCATGGTTCTTAGGGCCACTGGCCAAAAGACTCATTTTCGCAGCCTCCGTAACGATGACAGCGCCCCACCTTTCCTCCCAAATCCAATCCGACGTGCACATACACACTTGCAGAACATACATAGAAACACACGCTCGGGGCGAGTGACATTAGGAACATACATAGAAGCGTAACATTCGTATCTCGTTCACGCATACAGCTGGTGCGCGAGAAGGCGAAGGAACGGCGAGAGAACTCCCTCAACATGTTTCATCGACCCATCATCCGGTTCTAACCTGATTTCCGAGGCCAACCTCTTGCATTCTTCGTCTACTCTCCCAGCCGTGGTAATTACAAAGCTTGATAAGGGTCAATTTTTTGATAATCCTACTTATTTTTATCTTTAATCCTTAATTCGATGCTCCTCCGCCACAATTCAAAAACGACAAATATTTTTTTTTAAGTTAACCTAATTGGCTTTTATCAAGTAATGTAATATTTTCCGAAAATCATATATCAAACGTCTTTCATTGTCACCTGCATGGCAGAAATAATCGCAATTGATATTCGTAACCGCAATTGAATGGAGAACGCGTAACCAAATTTCACCAATCCGTTATATGTCAAAGAGCCCACAAAAAAAAATGCGTATATGTTCCGGCTCCGGTGGCGGCGCGATGAGTTTTCGTTTTACTACCCGCGTACATGACTTTTATACGTACACCATGCTGCTATAAAATAATAAAAAAGAAATAAACAGACGATTGAAATCGTATTGTAATACTCGATCCTCATTCCCATCCCGAAATCGGTGATTTCATCCGCCAATTGGTTCGGGAAATTGTTTTCGAAGAGCGTCTATAAACGAAGTTTCAGTTGTAGAGTACTTTTCTGTCCGGTTACAGTTAGTAATAATGTCAGAACCTTCTTGTCAAAACTTCCACCCCAAAAAAAACATCTACCTACATACAACAGACACACATAAACACATTTTTTACGATTATATTGGTGTTTTATATGAGATGATATGTTATCATTTTTAATTGATATTTGTTAAGAAATAAACAATTAAAGACTTTTAAATTGTGTTTTTCATTGCTTAACCTTTTTTCATATCAAAATAATTACATGATTTCTGTATTTTAAGAATTATATAGGTCATTTATTCATATAAAAAAATATATATATTGATCTCCTTTTATCGAAAATTTTGTATTGAGATTCGTTTTCCTTTTGCGAGTAGTACGGAAATAAAGTTTAGTTCTGCAAAATCAGGTTTATTGGACGATTCTCACAGAACGTACAGGGGTCATTGACTTTGCACAGTAGTGGGGTTGACCTATCCCTGATGGCACAGTGACCTAGATTTTCCAACCCTGCGTATATTGGTATCAGCTCCCTTTCTATGTTGGGTAAGTCAATTATAAACAATAAACTGATTCAATTCAGACTCAATCTTTTGATTTATATTTATTATATTCATAATATAATTTTAAGGTAAGTACCAATTTTTTTATTATTTATTTATTCAGTAATTAGACATTTAATAAGTATTTAATACCGATTTTATCGATTTTTTAAATCGTTGTATTTGATATCTTCGCACACAAAGGTCAGCTGTTTGTAAATGCTTATTTTCATTCATTAACTTTAGTTCAAAACCAGAATATGTATGTAATAAAAACCACATCATTCTATATAATGTAATTAAGTTGTTGTCTACTTTTTGCAAATATTTTAAATTAATTCCCAACTCATCATCAGTTCTCTTGAAAAGTTAATGTCCATGATTCTATTACGCGATTTTTGCTAATCTCTCTCTGATTAGTATAGTATCATGATTAGTATTATGATTAGTATGATTAGTGATTAGTATCTCTCTCATTCTCCCGACGTGATCATTCCAAACTCTTCTATGTTTACATCTCCATATGATTATGTCTTCCACTTCAATCACATTCATGTTTTATATCTGAGTGTCTTTCCCTCAGATGCAACTTGTATCTCATTGGCTCTTTAGATACAACAAAGATTTTGGTTTTTGTTGTGGATACTTGCATGTTGAAGGCATATAATGAGCGTGATCGTCTACGTTCTCTGTTAACTTCCCTTTCAAAGCCTATTATTGATCAGGTGAAATGGATGGAACATTTCATGTCAGTGTGAGACCAAAATCAGATAATAAAATAAACTGACCGGCAAAAAAAACCGGCCACTAAAATTTTGCCACAATTTCAAAGCTGGGTTTCTCGCGAACCACTCCTTCGATTTTGATGATTCCTTTTTTGATCGAAAGGTTGATTCTTCTGTAATAATCCTGCTATAGAAATTTGTATTCGGATATTAATTTGAACATATACGGGGTGCAAGAATGAGAAATGCGTTTTTTCTCGAAATTTGAAATACCCTGTGGGGTGCAGATGCTACAGCAGAGGGTGTTAACTGGAATCAAACGGTAACCCAATCTTTTCTGAACATTTTGTTTTTTTATTCACTCTATTATCTCTGTTACTAACGAAGGTGCAGTGTTTTAAAGTGAATGCCTGTGAAAACAAGACAAACAAGCATACAAAATCTAAGGTGGCGCTCTAGGTAGCGTATGTCAGTTGTTTCGAATAGTAAATTGACAGTTGTCAAAGATGCCGTTGTCAATAACTGATGTTGCGCGTATTATTAGTTTAATTGAAGATGGCAAAAGTCAGCGGTACGTTGCCCATACGTTGGGTATACCCCGAACAACAGTTCAGGATGCCTGGAACCGATATATGGAAACAGGAAATTTTACTAGGCGGCAAGGTTCCGGTAGAAGACGAGTGACAACAGCAGTTGATGATCGATTTATTGTGCTAAACACTCTGAGGAATCGTAGAACGACTGCTGTAGAAACTCGGCATCGTCTTCAAATGGTGCGTGGGGTTGACGTAAGTGAAAGAACCATTCGTCGAAGACTTGCTGAAACTGATCTAACTGCAAGACGAATTGGAAAATGGAACAATGGGGTAAGGTGCTCTTCACTGACGAGTCCCGATTTTGTCTCCGGTCACCTAATGGTCATCTTTGTTGAAAATGGCACGCTAAATGCCCACCGTTATATCCAAGATATTCTGCAAGAAGCTGTCGTGCCCTATTCCCATTTTATTGGTGACGGATTCATGCTAATGCATGACAATGCTCAACCGCACGTAGCACGTGTGATTCGCGAATATCTTGATGAGGTGGGTATTGAACGGATGGAGTGGCCAGCGTGCAGCCCGGACCTTAACCCTATCGAGCATCTTTGGGGCCAACTTCAGAGACGCATTCGTCGTCGTCCTGTCCTACCGGACAACCTTCGGAGTTACGAATTGCTCTTGAAAAAGAGTTTACCGCAATTCCTCAGGGATCAATTACGAACCTAATCAGTTCGATGCCGACTACATGACGTTACTTTGGCTCGTGAGGGGCACACACGCTATTAATTTTCGTGTTATTATTAATTATTACATTAAATTAAATTTGTTTTCTTGTTTATTTGTCTTTGTTTTTACCGCATATTAGAACTGAGAACAGATGTTTACAATAATGAAGGACGTACGCAATTCTGTAATTCTAAGAAAATGTAAGTGCTTCTGCAAAACTGTTTCGGGTGCCCAGTTTTACTTTTCAAGGTCAGTGATTTAAGGCGCCACTTTTAACAATGATTAAAAATCTGTATAGGCTTCTTTGGAAATATCCGGCCACACCATCACAGAACCACCATCGAAACTTTCGCGTTTCATAATTATTGTATAGTCCACAAATCTTTCATTTCAACGTCTTCATATTCGCTCCTGACTATCGGGTGATAGTAGACAAAACCACTACTCATCCGTAAAAAGGACCTCCATTGCACTACTCCTTCCTCCATTGCTCGATCTCCTAATTCACATGTAAGCGCGCAGATTGAAGACGCGCACGTCGATATCTAGGAAGCAGCCTCGGCCCTTTGGCAGCCTTCTTGCAGCCAGACCAGTTCTAGCAAGGTTTCAGCGAATGGTTCTCTCACTGACATCAACAGCACGCATCATTTGAAAACGATGCTGAGCCTCTACAGCTGTCGTTCTACGATTGCTTAGAACAATAAAACGGTCATCAGCTACTATTGTCACTCATCTTGTTTTCACAGGCGATGGCTTTAAAATACTGCATCTTCGTTAGTAACAGAGATAATAGAGTGAATAAAAAAAGAAAATGCTCAGAAAAGATTGGGCTACTGTTTGATTCCAGGTAATACCCTCTGCTGTAGTAGCTGCACCCCACAGGGTGCTCAAATTAAAATCTGAACGAAAATTTCTATAGCAGGATTCTTACAGAAGAATCAACCTTTCCATCAAAAAAAGAATCATCAAAATCGAATGTGCGGTTCGCGAGAAAGCCAGCTTTGAAGTTGTGGCAAATTTATAGTGGCCGGTTTTTTTTGCCGGTCAGTTTATATTTATTTTAAAATATTTAAATGAATTAATAATAATTTGTAAGCAAAAATTAATGTTCATGTTCCAAACGAAATTTCTTTGCCCACGGTTATTTCCCAAGTAAAAGGTCATATCTTTTCATCCATGGTTTTTTACGTGGCAGTAATTTTGAATTATGTTAGAGGGTTACAATACCCCACGGGGTCTTGTTAATCGTAACATCCGCACGCCCACGCAGCCCGTACGCCCACGTTTCATTCATGAACCCCAGGCTACCGACTAACCTACTCTGTACAGCTCCCTGTTTGCCCTATGCCCTATTACGTCACACCAACACCCACGCGTATAAGGTAGAATTGGACGAATTTGATTGCCCCTTATGTGCCCTCAGAATAGAGGTGTATTAAATTAAAAGTTAATACCCTTCGCTAAAGGTTATACTTTTTTTCATACAAATAACACAAAAGCAAGAAATTGTAAATTTTAATAAAAGTAATAACTTTAAAATATACGACCTTCACGTGTTGTACTTTAAATATAATTTGAACGCAAACTATGTTTGGGTTGAACTTACCATGAATTTTACCGGGATTTCTAACTTGGTCAATCATCAAATAGAATGGTTTTTAGATGTTGCTATAGAACGGAAACCCGAACTTCACCGCATCTTGTTTATAATGAAATATCGTGTATCAAAGGCGAAGACGGTGTTTTTAATTTTAGATCCCCTTCATATAAAGTGAAGCGTTTATGAGTCGTTTGTCAGGCTGGTCTACAAAACACGTGCACTTCTCCGTAAGAGAACATGCAGACGAACCGATAATGTTCCCCGAAATTAAAATATTTTTATCCAACTATAAATAAATACGTTGCTAAATAAAACTTTTACACTTAACGATATCTCTAGGAACTCTAAATATTTAATAATAAACGTACAATTTACGTTGTTTTGTGGTGTCGATTATCAGCAATGCGTAAAAATATGATAAGTATACAGCTGTTTAATTAAAGTCGTTGCTTGCAGTTTACAAATCGTTAACAATTTATTACGACGTGTGTTTATCTTAGTTTTGATTAGTGATCATAATGAGAACGTTATTTAATAAAATAGGTGAAGATTGTGTTACATAAATATTGTTCTGATTACTTTAATTTTTTTAAGAATTAATTTAAGAACTGCAATGTTTAATACACAGCTGCAGATCATCCATGAATAGTTTATATTACGTCGCGAAAATATTTTGCAATTAATTAAGTATAAATAAACAATTGAGCAAGTTAATAACAAATTCCAATATATTGTAACGCCTCGGCTTTATCACGTGGGATTGTAGACTTTTTGTCTAATAGATTTACAAAAAAATCCATAACGAAGAAGTCTTTGTCTCAAAATAATGTACGCGGTATCGCTCATGCACATTAGCGCTATAATTCCTCCATTAGATTAAGCTACTTACATCCGCTACGCATGACTGAAATCCTTTCCATTAAGGGGTATTTATGTCTGCTAAACAATTTTTAAACAAGGACGAAAATACAATAAACTACTTCAGTAATAAAATATAATTCCTTTTTAACAAACCACACAACAATGGTTTAATATCTTAATTATAACTTAACAATTAATCTGTCTCTTAAAACATAAAAAAAATTAAGCAGCTACTTCCACCATTTCTTTCTTCTTAGATCTTTTCTTCTTAATCCCAATTTTTGTCATAACTTTTTGTACAACCCCAACCTTCTTCTTCGGTATACTTCCAGACGTTTCAGGTTTCTTAATTGTTTGTAATATTTCAACATTGTCATGTTTAGGAAAACTCTGTATTGCAGATACACCACCATTAATTGACGCGGTCGATTTAAATGAAGAATTTGAAGTATCAATACTAAAATAATAATAAAAATGAAAACACGAATTTAAAATTATAAAACCGCATTTACCACTTAGCTTTTTGGAGAGAATATTGCAATTTTTCGTAAAAGTTACCTGGCCAAGCAGACTTGTATGATAATTTATGAATGGGTTGTAATTCAATTGGTATATCACAGATTTTATAAACTATAGGGATGATTTTTCTCATACTGTTATCTTAAAAAATTAAAAAAGAATAAAACAAATTAATTTCTTGTTTAATTTAAATCTTTACCTACACCTAAAGATTGAGCAAAACTAAGAAAGTATTTATTAACACTACTTTCTATGAAAGCGGGGGACAAAATGGTGAGTAATTTTTGACATCTACTCGCAATTATTCGCATTGTTGCATTTTTCTCCATTATACCAACAATGAGATCACGTTCGGGCACAAATATATTCATTTTAAACTTATTTTCTAAGTGAGTAACTATTTCGTATGCAAAATCAACATCTTCAGGAGCATATAAAATAGATGCATGATATATTATTGGTTGTAAACCCCGTCGGTGGTATTCATAATCCTTTATTGTTATAAAAAGTGATGTATCTATGTTGTTAGACCCGGCCTTATTGCTGTTTTCATACAAAGCTATGTCACTAACTAAAAATAAAATTTTGATATAATAATATCATATTATGGGATTGAATTCCTACTTATTATATCAAAAATATCGGCGATTATATCAAATCGATCCATTTTTTGAAGACAACACAGTAATTTCGCGATTATACTATCTTCGCAACTTTCCCATTTTTGTAATATATTATTTGTTGGGTCACTGCTTATACGAAATAATGATATTTCTTCACTGCTATATCCTAATAAATCTGCCAAACCATACCAATCCCTAATCAAAAGACGAAATTATAATTTATTTCGAAATTTAGTGAGTCATTATTGAAGTTACCTTTGTAAATTTTCTTTTGTAGGTATACATTTAGGTGGATTTAATAAAGTCGATAATATTGTTCTTGCAGTTGCGCTTAATATACTAATTGACACGTTAAATTTTTCATTCGTTGTGGAATCGCTCATTTTAAATATTTATTATAATATTTGTAAAATTATAAGAACACATAACCTAATATGTGTTGACATTTCAGGTGATTTCATCGCAATTTTTAAGCGCCATCTTTTGGTTATTAATTAAATTATTAAAATAAATTTTATAATTAAGTGGTTAATATTAATTAATTTTAAATATGTATTAAATAATTAACTCAATAAATTCTTTAATATTTTTTAATTGTGTACAAAATTAACTACAATTTAGGTAAGATAAAAGTTTGAAAAAGTGGCGACATCTTTGAGGAATCTTTTAGGAATTATTTGACATATCCATGTGTACGATAACCTCACTTTTTAATAAATTGTTTCACGTGCGCATTAATTTATAAATATGGGTAGAAAAGCGAAATTTGATGAAACCGTGATTGTAAAGAAAGGTCCGGGAAGGAAGTCGAAAAAGCAAAAACCACCGACGTTTAGTAAAGAACTACGTAAGTAAAAAATCATCATTTTTAAATCATTTAGTTTATAATTTATTTTAAAATTTTTAGAAGAACCAAAAGATGAAACGAAAAAGTTAAGTAGGAACCAAAAACTGCGTCAAAGAAAGCGTTTAGAAAAGCAGGAATTAGCGAGAGAACAACGCAAAAATAACAAAAAAATTAATCAAAAACCTAAACAAAAAATTAAAAAGAAATACAACAGCGATGATGATGATGATTCAGAAAACTCTTCTGATGATGAAGAAATTGTTCAAGAAAAAATTAAAGGATACAGTGATGATAATAAAGAATGGCTCCAACCAAAATCAAGGGATAAAAAAAGAAATCAGATTGGAAAGAAAATTAATGGACATCAAAATGGTGATTTAGAATCAAAAAGTGATGATGATGATGATGAAGTAAAGTTAGAGTCATTAAATGATATGTCTGATGATGAAGTTGAGGATGATTTTGATGAAAATATATCTGAAGATGATCAAGTTTCTGATGAAGATCTTTTACCAATTGAAAAACAAACAAAAATTCTTAAAAAGAAATTAAAAAAAGAACAAAAATTAGCTGAAGAAGAACTTCAATTAAACATAGGCAACCAAGATATATTCCAATTTCCCACTGAAGAAGAAGAGAAAGAAACCAAAAATTTGCAAGATATCCAACAAAGAATGAAAGACATCATCACAGTTTTATCAGATTTTAATAAACTTAGAGATTCCAAACATCCAAGAGCTGAATACATAACACTATTAAAAAAAGATTTGTGCTCATATTTTAGTTATAACGATTTTTTAATGGAAAAATTAATGCAATTATTTCCCTTAACTGAATTATTAGAATTTTTAGAAGCAAGCGAAGTCCAACGACCATTAACCGTGCGTACAAATAGCTTAAAAGCTCGCCGTCGTGATTTAGCTCAAGCTCTAATTAATAGAGGGGTTAATTTAGATCCAATTGGGAAGTGGTCAAAAGTTGGTTTGGTCATTTATTCGAGTCAAGTTCCTATAGGAGCCACCCCAGAGTATTTAGCTGGTCATTATATGATTCAAGGAGCTTCTAGTTTTCTACCTGTAATGGCTTTAGCCCCACAAGAAAATGAAAGAATTTTAGATATGTGTGCAGCCCCTGGTGGGAAAGCATCCCATATTGCGGCTATTATGAAAAATACCGGCGTTTTATTTGCAAATGATGTTAATCCGGATCGTATTAAAGCTGTTGTTGGCAATTTTCATAGGTTAGGTGTTATAAATTCCGTCGTTACTTCAGTGGATGGGCGAAAATACCCGAAACTTTTGAAAGGATTCGACAGAGTTTTATTAGACGCACCTTGTACAGGTACAGGGGTTATTGGAAAAGACCCCAGCGTAAAAACGAGCCGAGATGAAACCGATATACAGCGATGTTTCACGTTGCAACGCGAATTATTATTAGCTGCAATTGATTGTGTTAATGCTAAATCATCAAGCGGGGGTTACATCGTTTATTCGACTTGTTCTATTTTACCAGAAGAGAACGAAGCTGTTATTGACTATGCTTTGAAAAAGCGTAACGTTAAATTAGTTGATACAGGGTTGGAATTTGGTAGTGAAGGATTTACTAATTATCGCCAATATAGATTTCATCCCACTGTTAAATTAACCAAAAGATTTTATCCACATTCTCATAACATGGATGGGTTTTATGTTGCTAAATTAAAGAAGTTTTCAAATGATATTCCACAAATTCGAGATGATGAAGAAGTAGATCTCAATGATAATGATGATGATGAAATTGAAGAAGAAACTGTTAAGACAGAGAAGAAAAAGAGTTCAGATTCCAAGAAAACCAAGATTTCAACCAAACAAAACGATTTAAAGGAGCCCCCAAAAAAGAAGATTAAACATTCATCTCAATCTGAGAAAGTAAATCAATTAGATACTTCATCTGAAAAACTAGAAAATAAAAATTTGAAAAAACGGTTAAGTAAGAAATCAATTTCTCCTCAAAAAACTGTTTCAAAAGAAATAAAAAATTCTACTCCCACAAAATCTGGTAGTCCCACTAAAATGAAGGAAATAAAGAAAGTATCTCCTAAAAAAATCGAAGAAAGTATTTCGCCGAAAAAATCCCCAAAAGTCATGAAGAAAGAAAAACAAGTTACAAATTTGAAGGAAACGAAATTAAGTAAAAATGCAAAAATTATGGAGTGGGACGAAGTTCCATTAGAAGCGACTCTTAAAATAAACAAAAAATTGAAACAGGACAAGAAAAAGAATATTGGAGAATTGAAAAAAAGTAAACTAATTCGTGCTAAAAAATTACGATAATTTTATTTTTATCTCTTATTGTCTGTAACTATTGTTTAATATAATTTTTTTATAGGAAATAAACGAAAAATGTTATAATTTCGATTTTTTTGTTATCTTTTTATTTAATTAAATCCTAATTTTATTCTAACTCTAATTTAGCACTTTTCATCATATACAATATACCCGAATTTATTTAATTTTGTTATTATTTTTATAAATATTTAAATAAATGTTAAGGTTAAAACATAACCTTTTTCGATAAGTAATTTATCAGGGAATTTCTGTCAAAATTACCAACCTTGAAACTCAAAATTCGTCAAATTATACAATAATTGATAATTTTTTATTAAAAGTACATGTCAATTTTCAAAGTGGTCGCCAAAACTTTTCTATTCGCTAAAAAGAAACTACTTTTGTCCTATGTTGTTGAGAAAAATCAAAATTACTTATTTTGTACCTTTTAAGACGTTTATGTTTGCTTATTAAAGAGAATTATTGTTTTTTTTTAAGTCGAAATATGCCGAAAAATGTACTTGAGAAAATCAGTTGGAGACTACCTTGCATAGAAAATAGCTTCGTAGAAATGCAACTCTCTTAACAAAACTTCGTATTAAAAATTGAACGCATATGGCGCCATCTGTTGGGGATATTTTGGAATTATTCAGCTAAGAACCGAACCACTAGAATATAGGTTGGATTCAAGGACAGTAGAATCTAACAGGACTGCCAATCCATTGTATTTTTGTAGTCCACTAGGGATTGGTTGCCCGCACTCTACGTCACACTATTTGCCACGCCTGGTAACTGTCTGCGTTTTTAGAGGTTATATGATAGACATTAATACGTCTAAAAACATAAAACTTCAAAAATAATATGAATACATCTAGGATATAACCTCTAAAAATACATAGCAAACGCATAGACCATAACAACAGCTGGGCGTGGAAAATGGTGTGACGTAGTTTGCGGGCAGGTTGTCACAACAATGGATGTAGGTAGCAGTCCTGTTAGATTCTACTGTCCTTGGGTTGGATTGGGTTTATATATAAAAGCTCCAACCACAGAATAATTGTTTGGAAAGTGTTTGAAGCGACTGGTTGGGAATCCCTCAGATGCAATTACCTCTGGCAATTACACCTGTCAAATAATGCCGCACATTTGAATATCACTGCATCATATGACATGTGAGATTGTATCTGACGAGCTTCCATCAACTTATAACGTTAGCTGAAACAAAGCTATAATGTCAATTACAATCTAATTATTTAATCATACCATTATTACTTTAACATACTCTTACTTGACTCTTACCGAAAAATCACTTTAAAATGACGTTTCATATGTCATTCTGAACAAACTTCAACTTTATAATTTTAAAACTTGAAGTTAGCAGCAAATTTAAAAATATAATACTAATTGGAATCTATACTTTTTAAATTAAAAGAATGATACTGATAATAATTGTTATTGCTGTCTCTCATCATTCTCACTATTAATAATAAAATTGTTAGTTTAATTAAATTATTTCAGTATAGACGCTAATGCCATCTTACGGTGGGATTTCGACATACAATCAGTCCCAAGTTCTCCTATCAAAGATCCTTGGATCCTTCGTGAGGTTGGTAATGGAAATAATTAAATGTCACCAAGTTTAAATAATTTTTTTTAAATAATTTTAATTTAAATTAATTACAATTTATACTACTATTATGTTCATTTTTTTTGTATTAAATTGTTATTTATTTATTTCTATGTTAATTAGGTTGCAACATAATCTCAAATCAAAACTTATTGTTAGACTTTCTCAAATTTAGTGCCTTTAATTTTTTTAAATTGGTACCTCCATCACAAACAACTCATTTGAGGTTATATCGTTTTTATTTTCAAGAATAATTAATAATTTCCAATGAAAATGAGTGGAAAACAAGATAAATCGACTGTAGATATGTTAAACACCACGTTTAAGAAAAATCGAAATGCCCGGCATAATTCAAAAGTTTTTAATTTTAGTTTTATTTAGACCCAAAAAGTGACATAACCTAAAAATATTTTAATTTACTTATATTTTCAGCAAAAGTATGTTTTTGATCCTAGTTTTCAACTCCGTAGGTAATAATCGTCTTAATAATCACTCGACAACAATAAATATAACCCCCCTTTTCCCTTTCAATCGCTTCTTTAAATCAATGTTAGGGATCAATATCCAAGTATTGTAACTATNGATAAATTGAGAGGTATGTACCTATAAATTAATTAAAATTGTAAATAATTGTCATTAAAGCGCCATCTGTTGTTATCAAACCATATGTCTATAGAAAAATTGGACGTTCACCAAATCACCAACGCAATCGTAATCCGTTTGCGTTTGCCAACGTAAACGGAATTCTCTGGTGAACGCGCCCAATGTTAGGGATTAATTGGGATTAATATCCAAGTCAAACTTCATTGTAACTATACAGGTGAGTCAGAAAGAATGGGAAATCCAAATACCGGTCGTATTATTGGTCGTAGCTCGATAGCCAAAAAGTTTATGATTTGATTCATCAAACGAGCAGTGCGTATCTAGCGCCCTCTACGAGCAATAACAAAACAAGTTTCAAATTGGTATTTATCATGCTCGAAAATACAAAACTACCAAATTCTTTCTGACTCACCCTGTATATTAAGTTTCCATGGTAAAAGTTTGATCAATATTCTCCTTGATATTGACACATAATAAAAATAGTAAAAGTCAGTCAATTTTTCTTAAAAAAATATGCTTTGGGGTTTAACTCCAGCTTTAGATCTTGCGGGAGAACTAAATAGACACGTTCATCTAAATGATGAGGTAAATATTTTACTGGTTGGCAGTTCAGATTGCCGTCACATTTTAAAAACGTTAGCGAAGCGTTACACAAGAAAACACATAAAATTAAATTTTTTTATAATGGAGTCTTGTCAAGAAGCGGTTGCGAAACAAATCCTTTTACTTTATCTTGCCTTACGACCGGAAGAAGAACTCGGAATCGTCCAAAAAACCAGGTATTTTATGGAACTGTACGGAAACAGTATGATTAGACCAGCAGTTGCAAATTACCTATCATCAAGATCGTCGGATTTTGTTGAAATGATCACAAATTATGAGTATATGAACGAAATAATGCCGTTTTTAAAACTGGATATTAAATACAAAGATAGAGATTATATCGAAAATGTTTTTAAATTTTGGGGTGGGATCGATCCGTTCGATATTTGCGATTGTTGGGATAAAAGAGTAAGAAAAACTTTAGGGGTTAGATATGATAACAAAAAAGGCGCGTTCGATTGGGATCTTCAAATGAGATTCCATGCCATCGGAGGAAATATTGTTGGAGGCCAGGAATATCAATATTTTCGAAGTACTGGTGTCGCTTTCTCTTGGTTAGAATCGGAAGTTTCGAAACCAAATCGATCAATGGTTACTGGGGTCATTCCGAATGGTGAAAAATTTCTCCATTACGGATATTTAGGTGATATTATTACCGGGCCGTTTGTTACGTACGGTTTGGAATGTTCAGATCCAACATTTTTAACGAAAACCAACAATTTATATGCAAACCGATCAACTGATGTCACTGAAAGGAATTTAAGAGAAATTTTTCATGAGATACATTATAACTCTAATTATACTCACCAAAAAACTAGCGATGTGAACTTAGGGTATTGCGTCGCACAATTAAATGATTTAAAAGTTACTGATGTACAACAGGAAAAAAATGTTATTAAGAAAAAGGTGAGAAAATGTATTGAAATTGAGGATTTTACCGTGACGTTTTTGTCGTTACAAATGTTATCATCCATGAAACATAAAGAAAAATTTCACAACTTATTCGATGTGGTATATTTTAATTCGAGTTATATCAAAAATATTGAACAAGATTTAATTGAAAAAATAGCAAACAATCAATCTCTTTTATACATAGAAAATTGCCTTTTTGTTTTAAATTGCAGAGAAAAAGACTTGGAAGAATATAAAAAAAATGTTTTAGATAAAATCGGAGAGTTAGATAAAAAGGAAATAGAATTCAACCCAACAATGAGTAAATATTTTAAGTTTATTATAAAATAATAACGTAATGAGTTATTATTTATAAAACAAGTGTTTTAACAACATATTTGTAATATTAAAACATTTACAGTTAATTTACTTATTTGTAAATAATTAAAATGTGATTACATTCAAATTAAACAATAAACGTCTTACAAATTTAATAATTTAGATTTTCTTGATCCAGTCAATGTCGATTTCTTAACATGGCCGATTTGTTTCCGGTCCAGCCTTTTCATTTTCTTATTTAATCTAGTACAAGCTTTCATCGGCACTTCATCCCATTCAATCCATTTAATATCTAATTTTTTAGAATTCACTTCCATGTTTTTCGTTTTGAAAATATTTAGTTGGAAATTCATTTTCAAAGAATTTTATGTGGTATCTTATTTAGTGATGTTCTGGCTGAACTAATCTTTACTCGTATTCGCGTACGATTTTATTGCCAACGTCCAGTTAGTTTTTTGTTACGATATCCTGTTTTGAAATTATTGTCTCTTTTTAAATGTTCTCGGTCTTGTTTCTTCAATACAGTTTAATATATTTTCATTTAATGCATCAAGATTGGTGTACAAACCGAAAAAAATATTCATGTTATTGTTATAAAAATATCACTGTTATAAAACCCTGAAGAAAATCTTGAATAGTTTAGATATGTAAAGAAATAAGATTATAATCTATACGATTCAGCTTAAAATTGCATGAAATACTATCACTAGAACTAACACAAGAAACAGTCGGGTTTAGTCGTGACAAAAACTTTCAGTTGTCAATGTCAACTTTAATTTTATTATTATATTCGTAATCTTCATAAAATAACCTTTAAAGTGAGTC